CATTAAGCAGCAGATTAAGTAGCTTGTTAAGTAGCACATTAAGCAGCATATTAAGCAGCTTGTTAAGTAGCATGTTAAGCAGCATATTAAGCAGCTTGTTAAGTAGCATGTTAAGCAGCATACTCTAATTCGTCATATTAAGCAGCTTGTTAGGCAGCTCGTTAAGCAGCACTTCAGACTCATCTGTAACTTCTGGCGGATGACACTGATAACCAGTGTCAGTTTTGTCCATACCTGTGCACCAGGTGAGCAGTCATTTCTGAGGTGAACATTATGCTGACATAAAGTGGTATCAGAACTGTGGTACTGGAACCATTTTACGAGTACAAATACATGCACACGAAATCGGACCACCTGGTTCTGGTATTGGTGCTGGTGCTGATGTTTAAACTGAACCACAGATGGATGAGAAGCAGCCGTTGGGTTTCTCCTGAACTTCTTGTGTTTCTGGGGTCCTCAGTTCCTTTGGAGTTGGGAGTTTTCCTGAGGGAACACCTGAACTACTGGTACAGTCTGAAGGCGTATTACCTGGCCAAGACCATGGCTGATGTTCCATTCCAGGTAATAACACTGCTACGTGGTTAGGTTTACGAATAACACCACTGTTTGGTGTTGGACAACAGGAAACAGTTTTATTACATATCACCTGCTGGGTGGAAAACTGTTCAACAAGTTTTAAAAAAACATGATAACGTGGCTCGGTTGGGTTTGTCACAGATTTATAAAGTAAATGTTTGTTTTTTTCTTTAAACTAGAACTTAACTTTTTTTGAAAACTGAAGTTTGAACTTGCTGTAAAATCAAAGTCTGAGATCTGAAGCTGGTTCTGTGTGGTCCAGGTCTTCTTCCCGGTGGTGTACTGTTGCATCGTGTACTGGATGACGGCTCAGCCTCCCGACGCTGGACGGTTCTTCCTCTTCCTGTCTCTGGGGATTCTGACGTCGTTAGTGGCTCAAAGTTTGGGTCTGCTGATTGGCGCCGCTTCGACCTCGCTGCAGGTCAGTCCTCGGTCACTCGCACCCCATCAGGTATGTCTACGTATGTCTGTCACTCAGGTGTGTTTGCTTCTCATAGGTAGCCACGTTTGTGGGTCCGGTCACAGCTATCCCGGTTCTGTTGTTTTCCGGGTTCTTTGTTAGCTTTGACACCATCCCCTGGTACCTGCAGTGGATGTCCTACATTTCCTATGTCAGGTGAGAGTGCCGTTCCACAGAACTACACCACATGAAAATCTTGATTTTTACTCTCTCATTCGGAGTCCGGTTCTGATTTCACTCCTGGAAGACAAAACTTTGCCCAAAAACTGATGTAGTTTTATATTTTTTATGACGGAGCATCTTATTCAGCTTAATAACTGAACATTGCCCACTCGGACTCTGTGTCCCCCGCTTCAACTGGGACGTGGGTAAAGTTCTCCCAGGGGTGTGAGTTCAAGATCTTTCTGATGGGTTCTTCTGCCAGATGTTCCCAGCAAATCCTCACTGCACATTTGGGTCTACCAAGGTCTGTCTGACATGTTCCCTCGCCATCTGATCCAGCTCACTACCAGGTGGTGATCAGCTGACAGCTCAGCTCCTCTCTTCACCCGAATGTCTAAAACTAAAGAAGTCCCCAGCTGGAGCACCTTCTAGCACCCTCGCTAAAGACTCCAAGAAGGCTGGATCCTTTGAACTAACGTTAGGCACCTAGGCACAAACAACCGCCAGAGCTTGTACCCCCACCCAAAGGTGCAGGGAAGCCACCCTCTCATCTACCGGGGAAAACTCCAACACACAGGCACCAAGTTGGGGGCTAAGAGTAGACCCACATTGGCTCTGCACCTTTCACCATGGGCAACTCCAGAGTAGAATAAGGTCCAGTCCCTCTCAAGGAGATTGGTTCCAGAGCCCATGCTGTGTGTTGAGGTGAGCCCAACTAGATCTAGTCAATACCTCTCAACCTCAGCAACAAGCTCAGGCTCCTTACATGCCAGAGGGGTAATGTTCCATGTCCCAAGAGCCAGTTTTGGTATGCCAGGGTCAGAGCGCTAAGACCCCCACCCTCGGGCACAGTCCATGGCATTCACCCGTCTCTTATGGCCCCTCCAGCCGGTGGTGGGCCCACAGGAAGGCAAACCCATGTTGCGCATTTGGGCTGAGCCCGACCAGGCCCCATGTGTAGAGATGCTGTCACCAGGTGTTCGCTGTCGAGCCCCTCCCTCAAGCCTGGCTCCAGGGTGGGGCCCCGGTAATCCACGTCTGGGCAAGAGACACCGAGCTCCATGTTTTTCTTTGTCCATACAAGTGTTTTGAATCGCTCTTTGTCAAAACGCCGTCATCCTCTCATTTCACGATTCCATCCCATTTTTAAAATCTGGGTTTATGACCAGAAAAGTGACCTCAAAGAGACACTCACACAAATTTAGTTTTTGGTTTTTAGACAACCAAAATTTTATATTTACGTCAGTCAGCTCAGCGAAGACATTTTTGCGTGTATGATCCATTAACAGTTTGGAGGCAGATGGGGGAACGTCTCCTGCTCTGACTGTAGCTGGGAGGAACGCTGTTCATGGACCGGGCAGCCTGTGATCACTTTGGGACAAGAGAGGGGTCCACGGCAGCGCCTGATGCTCTTTGAGAAGAATAAAACTAAATTATTTCACGTCAGAGATTCCAAAAGTTTCCAATAATAACTGACCTGTTGATCATCGTCAGTAGATTTTTTTTCAACTACTGGGTAGTTGCTAGATGGGTCTGACTACCTGCTAAAAGGTGACAATTCTGGAGACAATAAAATAAAGTTATTGAGAAAGTAGGAGAAGGGGTTTGGAATCGTAGAGGGTGCCTTCACCTACCTCTGCCTACTGCAGGCTCCACCTACCACAGTCCCAGTTTGAAAACAGTGAACTGTTCTTATAAACTTTAGAATTGACATTTATGATAGTAAACATCATTAATGTCTAACTTCTACTGCATTTCAGGTACGGGTTCGAGGGCGCCATCTTGTCTATCTACGGTCTGGACCGCGACGACCTTCACTGTGACGAAGACGACATGTGTCACTTCCAGAAGTCCGAGGCCATCCTGAAGGAGCTTGACATGTTGGATGCAAAACTCTACATGGACTTCATCATCCTTGCCATCTTCTTCATCTCTCTGAGACTCATCGCTTACTTTGTCCTGCGGTACAAGATCAGGTCTGAGAGGTAGATCAGAACCAAATCCTGGACCAGATCCAGGTCCAGGAGGGTGAGGAGCAACAGACCGAGGGTGCTGGACTTGTAAACCCATAGGCTAGTTTGCTTGTAGCCGCTCGGACTTTGTTTCAATGTTTTTTTTAAACGTATAGAAGAAAAGACTTGTCTGAGACCTGTAGAACTGGGTCAGTCTCATTCAGGTTCTAGAGGGACCAGAGCTGGTCTCTTGGTCTTTGTTCGCTTCACTGTGCCACAATTCGAATGTGTACAAAAAGACTGAAACATTTCAGAATAAAAGCCCCCCCGGGTGCTTTGAAACAAAATTCAGTGAATTTTTGTCACTTTAGCAAATTATTGATGATTTTATTTCCGTATGGAGACTTGTGATCTCAGACTGAATAAAACCGTCTTTCATTCTGACCTCAGTCTTCAGTCTTTGCACCAACATGTCAAAAACTCAAACTCTGATGCATTGGTGTCAAAATCATTTGTAATGTGTGTGTGTGTTTGGGGGGGATCTGGCAGAAATTTTTCAATAAAGTAGATGCCATTATAGTCTGACCAACAGCACTCCTCGTGTGAATAGAGCATGCTCCACTTCTCTCAAGCATCTCAAGCATCCTAGCACTCCCACCCTCCACCCCGCATCAAAAATGGCTGAAACTAACGTAGCACTAAGCTAGCAGTGCGCAATACAGACATGTTAGCTAAGGAGCTACAGACGTAGCGCACCCACCCCCAACCCTGTCAACAACTGCCAGCACTAACGTGGCACTAAGCTAGCGTGCAAAACAGAGGTGTTTCCCCCTCCTCCCGCCGTGAGCTCCCTGCCAAAGCAGATGACCGAGGAGAAGCTTTGCATGCGGTGTGGAGTTGTTGTAGGTAATCAGGAAAACCAGGAGTGGATTTTAATGGTTTGAGTATTTTCCTACTAATAAAGTGGAATGGATTTGTTCACAAACACCTACTCACTCTCATCATCACACCCTTGACCTGGTTCTGATCTGTGGCATCAAAATTAATAACTTAGTAATATTTCCTCAAAGTCCTGTTGTTTCTGACCATTTTTTATTACATTTGAGTTTACATTAAATGACTACACAGTCACTGAGTGAATTTCATCTCAGCAGGTGATTATCAGAAAATGCTGTAAACAAATTTAGAGATTCTCTTCCACCATTTTCTTCTGTCTTGCAGAGTAATGCATCAGAGAGCAGTGACTTAGATCATCTGGTTGATAATCTTACAACTACTTTGCAAACCTCACTCGAAGCTGCTCTACTGAAAAAGAAAGTAATCAATCAGAGGAGATTAGATCCTTGATTCAATTCTGCATGACGTACTTTAAAACAGACCTCTAGAAAGCTAGGACAAAAATAATGTTGAGGAATCTTACTTACCTTGGAGAGATAGCCTGCTAACGTACAAAAAAAGCACCCCGTAAAGCTAGAACTTTATATTATTCATCTTTAATTGATGAGAATAAAAATAACCCCAAGTTCCTTTTCAGTACCATAGCTAGTCTAATAAAAAATCCTATCTCTGTTTAACCATGTATCCCTACAACTATAAGCAGTGATGACTTTGTGAGATTATTTATAGATAAAATTATTTCAATTAGGGATTAGGGAGAAAATTCAAACCAACATTCCTACTATCGCCTCTGGTTCTGTGTCAGATGAGACAACTTTAAAAATGTCACTAGAACCTGATTCATGTTTGGACTATATTTGTCCTGTTGAGCTCTGAATTGTCAAAGATAATAACTTCATCCAAACTATCCACATGTCTGCTAGATCCTTCAGTATTCAGTTAAGTGCTCTGGTAGGAAAATATGTAACAATAAGATCTGTAATATAAGATGGAGCTAGG